TAAGACTGGTGTCCCCATGCACTCACCAGCTTCCTGGGGACAGAGACAGTGCCCTACTAGAGACACAGAGTTCTCAGAGGCAGAAGGGCCCTTGGAGAAACTTTAGCCCAAAATTCCCCCCACCCGGCTGCTCAGCATCACCAGGGACGTTGTGAGAATTTCCGGTGTGTGGGAGCCTCTCAGCAAACTGGGCCGAGGCTGGGTGTTTGGACTTTGAACCCCGGCTGGGATCTACACGCAGTGAGTCTGCGCAATGGAAGCCTGCGTCCTTCGCCCATCAAGGGCCCTGCTGGAGGGAGGCTGCAGGCTGAGAACTGGCCCCCAATCCCTGTCCTCTCTCCTCTGCACAGGATGAGCGGTCGTGGCTGAAGTACTTCCCGTGTGGAGGAGCTCAGCATGGAACAAGGGCACAGCCCACTGCTGATCAAACTCTCCCGCTTTTTCTTGTACTCAGCCAAAATACAATACAGTCCTTGCCCGGCCCTGTCTATTCCCTGAGGACCTCTCCGGGTACACACCAGCCCCACCCAGCCTGTGGGCACCAGGAGGGGAAGGACAGCTGAATCCGGGTGAGCAGGGCCCTCACTCACTGACGCCACCACGGCCCTGAGAACTCAGCGCCCGGCTTGTTCCCAGAGCCAACCTCAAGCCTTTCTGAAATGGAATCTCTCCCCCACCAGAAACACTGTGCAGCTCTGGCCGATGCCCCTCGACCTCAATGCAGAAGAGGGAGCCTGCCGCCGCCGGCACACCTGCTCTTACCCTCCGGTGCATATTCTTTCCCTGAGGACAGCTGGTCCCATCTTGCCTCCCTGAGGTCTCCTCACTTGCATCTTCTGTGGTCTCAAATGCTCCCGTACATCTAACTTAGACCGTGTGAGGGTTTTCTGCTTTTTATTTTGAGACAGGGTCTCACTATGTAGTTCAGGCTGTCCTTGAACTCACTTTGTAGCCCAGGCTGGCCTCAAACCCACAATCCTCCTGCCTCAGCCTCCACAGTGCTGGGATTACAGGCGTGCGCCACACCTGGCTGTAGATCGTGTCTTGCCCTGTTTGTGCGATCAGTCCCAGAAGCCTGTTGGGGCCCAGCCTTCTGCTACTGATCTTGGCTCTGGATTCTGATGACCTTAATATCTATCACTGCTACTCCATGATAAGCAACAGAAGCCAGGCCACTGGACCCCAAGCTGTTTAGCCTCAGCCTTAAGGCTAGAGACTTTGTGGGGTACTAAGGTGGGGTCTTGCTATGTAGTCCATGGCTTTGAGCTTGCAGCAATACCGCTTCAGCCTCCTGCGTGCTGGAATTACCAGCATGTGCCACCACAACCAGCAGCAGTAACAGCTTTACCTCCCCAGGTTATAGATCCACCCCCAGACACCAGGGTCTGGTACACACAGTGCTGGATTCAGGGCCAGCAAGGGAAAAGATTACATACAGGACACATAATTTATAGGATATAGCATCCACCCAGAGTCAAATGCAAGAGCATGAGAGATCTAGCCACACACTAGGGACCCAAAGAATCCAGCTGAGCGCCTGGATCCCAAGGCAGTGTCCTGAGGGAGTCCAGCTGAAGACCTACAGCCCATGGCAATGTTCCCCATGAGTCCAGCTGGAGGCCTAGAGCCCACGACAATGTCTCATGCAGGTCTGTACCAAGGATCTGCACTGGGAAGGTTCAAAGGTCAGTGGTGGAAGCTAGAAAGTCTGCGCCTCAGGGATGAAGACCTGTGCCAGCAGGCTGAGGGATCTGCACTACAGCCAGAAAGTGACACTCAGAGTAAGGACAAGGCTCTCCCCAATAGAACCACAGCCATCCTCAGTAACAGCGAGGACCTGGGCTCCTCTGACAATGAGAACAGCTGAGTTCCCATCAGGGAAACCAACACAACACCTGCTTTTATGCTGCTGGCAACAATCCGCAGGTGGGCCTTCCACACCCAGCACCATACTGATTCAGTCAGGCTGGGTGTTACAAGTTGACCACCAGTGGTCAATCCATCACACAGGGCAACTTGTAAATAGGGACTTTCACTGGCTACGTAATTCTTGCTCAGTATTCCCATGGCAAAAGCATCTTACTGAGCACACAGCACATAGCAATTCACAAGCCTTATAAGCTACTCTTTGTCCATCAGAAAGCAGGTGCTCAGTAAGTGAGCAAATGAGGGGGTGGACAGCAAAGCTGACACCGCACAACTGCACTCAACTCTCGGTAAGTTGCACAGCCATCTGCCTATACTGTGGGCTGGGTAAGACCCTTAGGTACCACACAGGTTAGAGATCATTGTTCATGTAGTTTAAAACAGGTGCTGCCTCAGCTCCGTGACACAGACGGTGTCTTTAAGGACAGCCCTACACGACTAACTTGCCAGGGTAGGAGGCAGAGGATATGGAAGTTGCCTATTTTTAGGCATAGGCAGCTACAAACAATGCAAAGAAGCTGGTATGAGGACAACCCAAAAGCAGTGCCCCAAATACGAAGACACCGTTAACCACCCCTTTTCTACAACTAATTCTAGCTTCTCAAAGCTGGGTGGTACAGCGCTTGCGCAGCCATGCGCCATGCCCTGGATTCAGTCCCCTGCACCACCACCAAAAAGCCCTGCTCACCCTCATTACGCCCCAGCTCCCAGCCAGCCCTGGCGGAGGGAAGGAATGCGCTCTCTGGAGTCCACTTAGGGGTCAGCTTCATATTTTGGGGGCGGGGGGCTACCAGGAATCAAACTCACGACCTCGTGCTTGCCAGGCAGGCACTGTGTTGCTGGGCTATATCCCCAACCCAGGTTCACATTCTTACTAAGGCTCAGCTCTTCTGAAGCCTGTTGACAGCACTGTGTGTTGGGTTACTGTCAGGGCCCACAGTGCTGAATCTCCAAGAACCGAGTTCAATAGCACAACTGTCCACTATTTAAAGCCCTCGCTCTCTGCCACAGTTGCTTAGCACCAGCACTTCCACACTGCTCTCAGATACTACATCCTTTGAGTCTCGAAACAGCCTGACCCAGTGTGGTAGAGCATATTCTCTGTACACCCCGACTTAAAGAGCAGTTAAGCCCTACAGAGGACCAAGTGACTTCCAAAAAGTATCCAGATGGACCTGACAGCAATCCAGAGGGGACTGGGCACAGGTGGACGAGGGTGCAAGCTGCCTGCAGCAGCACAGGGTATGGTAGCTGGAGAACACCCACCCACCCCAAGGGACACATCAACCCTCCAAACTTGACAGCCACAGGGAGCCAGGTAGGTAGGGGACAATGGCTTGTTATTTCAAGAGGCTGGAAATCCAGATCATTACGTGAAATGTGTCAAGTTTCAAATGCCATCCACGTCTAATAAAGCTCACACACAGCCATGCTCACTTCTGCTAATATCCCAGTCTGAGCAGTTTGGAAAAAGCAGCTGAGAGTTGATGGAAATTCCTGAGGCTGCGTGAGCACACAGGCCACCCTCTCTGTGCAGACTTAGGGAAGCCCCTTGCTTCTTGGCCTTATGCCACCTCCACTCCACCAGGCTCCCAGAAGCTGTGCCAGGACCAGAGAATCCCTGTTGATTTGTGTGTAGATAACCCCCAAAGCCTCATGCAGTCATGGGGCAGGCTTCTACAGCTTATGATTGATTCATAGTCCAATGTTGGAATTATGGATGTGAACACTACACCTGCCCTTGGGTGGACAGTTTGCATACAATGTAAGGGAGGGAAAGAGGCTGCTCACCGCTGCTCCCCTTTTGCTCGCTACTTTTGCCATCTTCCGTGGCCATGAACCGTTGCCCTCTGCCATGTGCCACTCTGCCTTGGAGCCAGCCAAGTGTACACTAAAACCTCCACAAACTGTAAGTTGAATAAACCTTTCCTTCCTTAATTTTGGGTGTCAGGTATTTTGTCTCAGCAACAAAAAAAAAGTAACCACTGCACTGCTCCCCCAACCCTGCTCTAGGTCAACCCCAATGGCACCCTGCCTGCTGCACCCCAGCCAGCACTGAGGTTCCCACCCCAGCTAGGGCAGGCTGCACCTCTGCCACTTCCACGCTCTGCACTTAAGATCCTGCTCCCACACCGCCCCCAGCCATTCATAGGCCTAGAGTTCCTCACTGCCCTACCAGAGGATATCCCCTCCTCACCGAGGCCCTGCCAAGGGAGCAGATCCCTAAGCAAGAGAATCTAACGGGGACCCTCAGCAGAGACCCAGGCGCAGCAACTGCAACTGCCCCAGTCAGCAGGGACACCCCATACCTCTCCTCCCCTGCCCTCCAGGGATACGTCCCTCCCACTCCCATGGTATCTGCTTTCTCCTAGGCTCTCTTCCTGCCTAACCAATCTGGTCTTCCCATGGTCCACTGCTTCCTGAGGCATGGATCCAGACATGGACCTTAACAGTATTTCCACACCCAGCTCCCACATGGGTCTCCTAAGCTGCAAACCAATTAATAAACCTCCAGGGGAAACGGCATCCAGAATCTGTAATCAGCCAAGGCCCCTTCTCCCCAGCCCAAACACCCAAGCTCCCTGACTTGCTCCGTGCAAATGCCCGACTGACAGCCCAGGCACCCACCTAAATTCCTCTAACAGCCATCCTGGGATCCTCTGTGATTTAGAAAAGCACACATAACCCTGTTTAAGTCACAAGAGTTGGATGACTCATCCACCAACCAAGCACACACCAAACCCACATATTCGTTAGACCACAGTGGCCCTCAAATTCCATCCACACAAAATGCACCCACCCCCATAAATGCAACCCTGCAATACAGGTGACAGGTCCTGTGTACTCCAGGGTAAACAAAGATGTGCTCTAGTCAGTAACATCTACCAACGCTCCCAGAGAACTGAAGTGAGAACAAGCTGGGCTCTAGGATACCTGCTGCTCAGAGGAAAGAACATCACCCCCAGCCGAGCTTTCCCTGAGCACTTGATGGACAGCAGTTAGCAACGTAAACCTGTGCGTGGGTAACACCCCAGCGAGCTGCTGCCAACAGACTCCACACAGCCAGACACAGGCAAGTTTTTACAGTTTATTAATCCTCTCGTGAAAGTCAGTCACCACAGACAGGCACTGCAGAATCTTTACTCCTTTGGCTGCGAAACAACAGAAAGAACGTGAGTCAGCAACTGCCCTGTAAGTTTTTAAAGTTGTCAAGAAATTCCAAAATTAACAACATTCATGCAAAACAGACACTAGTGACCTACAGTCGTTATGTTTGTGAGACAAAGTTAACAACAAAAAAATTAACAACAAAAAAATTTCAAGTTAGGGATTAAATAAAAAATTAAACACTACTAAGTTTAAAAACACAATTACAAAAACTTCAACAGTCATGTCACTGTTAGTATTTTAAGAGGTTACAACTCAAAGAGTGTTTGCAAATCTGCATACAAACATATTTCACATGCTTTTTTGTACACTACAGCATGAGTAAACCAAGGACTCTATGCATCTACATTAAGAACTGGAATTATACCTGTTCTCCAATCTCCAGCTCACTGAATCAGTGGCAGGGAAGGGAAAGAGAGGAAAAGAAACAGTTTGTTAATGAATGGTCCCTTTCCAGACTCCAAAAGAACCTGCAGTTCAGTGCATGCAATCAGATACCTTCACATGATTGTTCTGTGCTTCGTAACTGTACCCAGAATATGCCTCAGACACATCACTGATTTCATCCCTCCCGGCTCTGAGCGCATCTTAGTTGTGTTGTGATGTTAACGAGGTGGCATGCCATGCCAGCAAGGTGCCAAGCCCAGCCCAGCCCAGACCAGCACTGCCTGGTTGACATCCATACCCTGGAGCCTCAGTACCAACCAAACCTCAGGCTTGAGACTCCCCACATGCTCAAATTTAAGCCAGCCCTAGTAGGAGAGCTCTAAAAGGGTCAGGCAGCCCTTTTAGAGCTGTCTCAGCTCAATACTTTTAAAAGACAACACTCACAGCACAAAAGCAGTACAAATTAATACTGAAATCAAAAGCAGAATTTGTATTTATATGAGACTATTTATATGAGACTACTTAGGCTTTTTAAAACAACTCCATTACATCCAAGGGGTAAGAACAAATACCAATGTTAACATCAACCCAGCTGAATTTGTCAGGCATGGTAGCACATGCCTACATGAGCTACAATGCCTATAATCCCAGTGCTCGGGAGGAGGCTGAGGCAGGAGGATTGCTGTGAGTTCAGGCCCAGCCTGGACTACACAGCAGGAGATCCTGCCTCAAAAAAACAAACAGAAAAACTCCAAGCTGAATTAAAATGAATGTTACTGGTTGGGCATGGTGGTGCACACCAGTAACCTCAGCACTCAAAAGCTGTGGCAAGAGCAACAGCCTGGGTTAGAGCGAGCTCAAGGCCAGCCTGAACAACATGGCAAGACCCTGATTCAAAATACAAAAAACAGAAAAAAGAAAACTACACACCAAAAAAAGGAGAATACATAAATATAAATAAGTAACCAGCATTACTGCGCTGACTTTTTCTAAGCCAGAGTACAAGTGTTCATTTTGCATTCATTTCCAGCTGGCTCTGCAGAGCAGCACTCCTGAAGTCACTAGAGCAGGCTGAAGCAGGAATCTCAATGACTCGGGTTCCCGCGGGAAGTCCCTCCACAGGAGGGACTCAAAGCTGAGCATTACCGCGCGGGACTCCCAGGCTGGGTGAAAAAAGAATCGGGGTGTTAAATGTCCTTCAGAGCTGGGTGTCGGATAATTCTGACTGCCTTTCTGTCACTTCTGCCAACACGTGTGGCCCTCACCACCACAGGGGCCCCAGGGAGTGTAGCACCTCGGGGTGCACTCGTCACTACCCACCCTATGCTCCAGAAGTCGATGGGATCAGGCCTGAGCAGGCGAGGTTTCCTGCCTTGCCTGGCAAGGAGGCAGGAAAGCCAGCCAGAGGCAGCAGCCTCACTGTTTCAAACCCTACCCATGCTCAGCACACTTCACAGCTTACCAATGTAGGCTGCTCCCACGTGCAAGAATGTGTCTGACACTGGATGTTTGTTCCAGCTGTCCTCAACTCCACAATGAAATAATTTGAAGCAGTCCAAATAAACCACTAAGTATTTCATAAATTACATGTGGCTTTTACATATAGATATATATAATGTATCTGCAACACAGCAGACCATTCTGAGCACACACCTGTGGGGAAAGCGCTATCAAAGCCTTTAATGTAATATCCTGGTAAAATTTCTACCAAAAACACAGAAGAGCTAGAGACGTGACTTCATGGTAGAGCATCTGCCTAACCTATATGAGGCCCTGGGCTCAATCCCAAATATAGGAAGGGGTGGGGGCTAGGTATGTACCAAAAAAAAAATGGAAATGGTAAACATCAGCTTTGAGGATGTCACCAGAAATCCAGGAAACAAGTTTCTTACCAGAGCTGCCCAAACCTCCAGAGGGGAGAGTGCTGCGCAGAGGAGAGCGCTTCCCAGGAGTTAACAATCGTGTTTCCAGAGGCCCAGGGCTCTGGGCACGGTGTTTCCAGGCAAGTGGAAAGGGCCGAGGACTAGGGTACCCACCTGCTTCCAGTGAGTCCCCTCACCACTCGACATGCACCTTTTAATTTCCAAAGGACACATGAAGTGTGCACCTGGCTCACAAAGTACTCTCACAACTCAGCCCTGGCGCTAAGTGATCACACTACAGTGTGTGTGAGACACTCTTCCAAAGCCAACATGCAAAAAGCATCAAAGCAATCTGAGTGAAGGCGCCGCAACCCCACACCGTGCTACAATCTCAGTACCTGCCAGACACTTCATTTCTGACGAACAGTAATCCAAGACAGTAGAGGGAAAAGGCAAAAAAAAAAAAAAAGTTCACAGAATATTTGATTATTTGATTTCATAACCCAGCACCTTAATTTCATCCAACTATTTATAACTAGCTAGCAAAGCAGACACAAAAGCTGCTATGGCCAAAATCACTGAGTCTGGGCTCCCTGGAGAAGCAAGCAGCCCTGAGGTCCAGGATGCCTCTCCAGTGCACCAGGAAAGCACAGGCCACACTGGTCCACTGCTTTGGAAACCAGAATCCATTAGAGAAACCAACAGCCCCAGGGAACGAGATCCGTTCCCGCTGCCCGTGCCAGTCACGAGTTAAAACCTTCCCGCGAGGGCACTGGAGGCGCACCACAATCCCTGAACCAGTGTGGCCCCATGCTGGCTGATCCACGCGCTGACAGGGGTGGGCCAAGCTACTCTACTGGGTGTCAGGACACTACTGTGCTAGGTGGCGTCTCTACGCACGTTACCTTCTGTAATCCAGAAGAGGAGGGAGAGAAGAAACATTAAGAAAGGTTATTAAAAAATCACAACAGCTCCTTCCCAGAAATTCAAGACCCTCCTGCATTGCCTGTGACCTGTACCTTTTTGCCAGCACCAACGTTAGCCTTTGCAGTGCCCCTGACTTTCTTCATTCTGTTCTTGCGTTCCTTCCGCTGCTTTCTTGAGGTTTTTTTCTTCTCATACAGGCCGTGCTGCAGAAGACAAAAGTCCATCTCGGTATTCGTAAACAATAATGCTCACTACCCAGAACTCCGATGGGGAGCTGTCTAGGTCGGGCTTATGAAAGACAACTGAAACTTTTCTTTGTGCACTACCAAGACACCACCTGTCTGTAATCACAGTACTCTGGGAGGCTGTGTCAGGAAAATCTCAGGTTCAAGCTCAGCCGGGGAACTCAGAAACTTAGCTACAATCTGTTGCAAAGAAAAAAAAAGCCTGGAAATGTGGCTCCATGCAGTCCTTGTGTTCAAAAAAACGAAAAAAACCACCCTGCAACTGGCTTTCTTTTGGACGCCTCTGGGTATCAACACCTCTTTGCCTGAGGTCAGTGATGCCTTTACTTACCAACAGCTCTACCCTCTCTACATTCTTATTCTTCTCCATCCTGTTTTCTTGTTTTTTTTTTCCCTGACAGGGTCTCACTTTGTACCCCAGACTGGCCTCAAACTTGCAACCCTCCACTTCAGTCTCCCGAGTGCTGGGTTACAGGTGTGGCCACACACCCAGCTTCCACTGTCTACTCTGGCATCTGCAGTTCTTGCGGCCCAGCTGGTGATTCCCAACTTTTACAAGGATCTCACCTTCAGGTCACATCTCAGCCAGGCCTTCCCAGGCCCCCAGTTATCACCAGTGCAGTCCCTACCTCACCCATTTCCCTTACAGATGCTGTACCGGATGACTAACACGGCAACAAGGAGCAGCGTGTGGGTGACACGGGGAGAGGTGAAAGACACATCCAAGGGAACGTCCACCATGGAGCTGTAAGCTAGGCAGCCAGCCCAGCACACAGCTGAGGTTCACTCAGCTGGGCTTCATGCTCAGTACAAGGCCAAAACCCTTCTGTGCTCCATGTAATCAAGTCCAAACTCACTGTTGCATTAAAAGCCTCAGAGAACCTGGTGCCAAGCTGCAGTTCAACCTCAGCATGCGACTGCTCGCCCAGCCCATCTCCATAAGCTATTTCATCTGCCCTCCACCCGAATTCCAATCTCAGAATCTCAACCTCCACACTGTGCATCAAGAGCACCTTAATCCACTAAGGTGTCTGTCTGTCTGTCTCCATGCTGGCCTCCCACACTACGTGGTCTTGTTCACTCTACCACACCCACGACACAACAGCACTGAAAGTCAGTCTGCAAGCGCTGCTGGACCAGCCAAAGGTACCTACTCTTGCAAGTCTATGTTTGGGCTCATTTTTCTTCGCATAATCCAGGGAGTCGTAAATCATGCCAAAGCCAGTTGTCTTGCCACCACCAAAATGGGTTCTGAATCCAAACACAAAAATGACATCTGGTGTTGTCTTGTACATTTTGGCGAGTTTTTCCCGAATTTCTGTCTTAGGTACTGTTGCTTTCCCAGGGTGAAGGACATCAATGACCTAAGAGAAGACACCAAGTTCGGTGTTAATTACAACGAAATACAACGAACAAATTGAATAGGGCTTGACCTACCCTTCCTTACCATCTGTTTCCTTTGAAGTAGTCGGTTGGTCATGAACTTCCGGGTTCGGATAGTTACTGTGTCATTCTGAAAACATGAACACACTAGTTAATAAAAGAACTCAGGCTTGTACTGCTGCTGCTGTGATTTTCCACTTTCTGCAACTATACTAACCATAGCCCATCGCCACATGGCTCAGTAATTAGAATTCAGTAATATTTACAAAGCAACTCCTCGGTTTCAATTCTTCAATTTTGAGACAGGGTCTATGTAGTTCACACTGGTCTTACACTACGTAGCCAAGGCTGCCCTCGAACTTTTGGAGATCCTCCTGCCTCAGCTTCCTAAGGGCATAGACCACCTTATCCTGGTCAGTTTTTGAAATATTCAAAAGCCCCAAGGCAGAAACAGGAAGGCTCCAATGAAAGGAAAAAAGGCAAATTCCCATGTCCACTGAACACACTGTGCATTAACACCAACATCCCAGGACATACCTAACTGCACTCCAGCTTTCTGTCCATCGGTAAATCCTACTTCCCTTCCTAAATTGCAGGTTATCCCTCTGGGCAGTGCTTCCCCACATCTGCATTACTGATATTTTATTTTATTTGTATTTTTATTTTTTTTGTCTCTTTGAGACAGGGTCTCGACATGCAGTTCAGGCTGGCCTTGAGCTCACTTTGTAACCCAGGCTGGTCTCGAACTCAGTGATCCTCCTGCCTCAGCCTCCCAAGTGCTGCTGTACTGATATTTTAATCTGGGTAATTCTTGGGGGGTCAGGGGCTGTCTCAGGCTATATAACACGTTGTCTCCAATCAGGTACACTTCTAGTAACTTAGTTGTGTTGATCTAAAATATCTCCAGACTTTGCCCATTGTTTTCAGGGGTAAAAAATCACCTCCAAGGGAGAATCATGTCTGCACTCAATCATAAATATCACTCTACCCTTCTTGAAAGGCCTCAAAGACCTCACGAAAAAACCATGTTCCCTTCTGAATGACCCAAGAGCTTTTATTTTTACGTACCAAGGTACGTAGACATTTCTCAAGCTTACGCTGACCAGAAATAAGTTTTCCAAACTTTGGGGGAAAGGCTGCCACCAGCGACTGACTTGCTAAAGCGATCTTTCCATGTCAGCTGGAGAACCCATGCCAGCAACCACCTCAGCGATACTAAATTCTTGAAAGCGAAAGACAAGCAGGAAAACAGCGTCCAGATGGAGCAAAAGACAGGCGCTGAGCCTTTAGTGACGGAGCTAACACCACGACGGGGACTTCGGGCAAGCCCACCTTTTAGCGGCATCCCTTCTCAGGACCTCGGTTTCCTCAATAGGAAAGGAGGATCCGCTCGGCCAGCAAGTGTTCTACTCTACGGGTAGACGCGCTCCGACGCGCCGCCACTCGCCGCCACTCGCCCGGGAGCCGGCGGCGCCTTCACCCCGCGAGCTGCCATCACCCGCAGGCTGCAATACCGCAACAGGCGGCTGCAGCAGACACGCGCCCCCGAGTCTACCCCCGCCCCATTCACTGCGCTCCACCAGGCAGATCAGAGCCGCAGACGCTCCAGAGTCCCCGGACCCCGAAGCCCGGCGTGTCCCGCGCCACAGCGCAGCCTGCCAGCCAGCCCCTACTTCCGGCAGCCGCTCCGGGGGGGCCTAGGAGACAGACCCCCGAAAGACACAACCAGACGACAGCAGCCGGACTGCGGGAGGCTGCAGCTCCAACGGCGACACTGGGGGAAGAAAGATGGCTCTGATTCGCGGTAGATGATAACCCTAGTTTGGAGCGACTCACCATGATGGCAACAGACCCTCAGACAGCCAGGGAGGAAGAGAGAAACGCTCTCCTCCGGCCAATCATATCAACGCGCACGGAAGGACCCCGAGCGACGCCAGCGTGGGGGCGTGTCCCTGGCCGTGAGGCCGACCGCGTCAATGCCGGATTGAAAATGCCTAAAACCCCGCCTCCCTGACCTTTAGCCACACCCTGAGCTGCTGGATTGGCCAATCGGGAAGCAGAACAGCTCCAGAGGCTACATTCGCTCACCCACGTGTTACATTTCAGCTGAATTCCTTTTGTTCAATTTGCCCTACTCGGAATCTCCCTAAACTGAATTATGGTTTAAACTGTTCTCATCCGAGGTAGATGTGGGTGGACTTAAGACATCTTCAGAAATCTCAACTGGCCTCATTTTAAAACCAGGGGAACGGCAGAGACCTGGACTGAAAACCTTCGTTGTCTCACGTGTGACCACACTGAACGTTTTATAATTCATAAATTATAATTATTATAATATAATCATGTTATTATAATAACATCCACAGTAGTAAATGTTATTTTCTGAGACTTTTATGGTGACTGTCTGATTTAAAAGGTTTTTTGTTTGGTTGTTTGGTTATTTGTTTGTTTTGAGACAGGGTCTCTATGTAGCCCAGGCTGTCCTGGAGCTCACTGGGGTCATCCTGCCTCAGCCTTCAAGGGCTGGGATTACAGGCGTGCGCTACCACACCCGGCCCTAAATAGTTTTTAAACTCTTTGTGCTATTCTGCAAATGTCAGTCCTTAGAAAAAATGCATGTCTAGCATTTGCTTGATCCAGAAATTAGATCATGGGCATATAAATGCCCATGATCTAAGGAAAACGTAGGGGAGACTTTCCCAAAGCCTAGCGTGGACGAGGGTACAAGATCTAAGGACTGCTTGAGCATTCTTGGGAATAGTAAATCAGTCCTCCTTGAGTAGTTAGTATGTGCCTGTTACCTGCTAATTACTTTTACCTTTATTTCACCATTTAATTTATCAACTCTAAGAAATAAGGTCCTTGGTGCTTAGCCTTTTTCTATCAGAGGAAGCTAGGATATAATGAAGGTAAATAACCTTCCCAAGGCCACACAACTTCTAAGGGTCCCACGCTGGCACTGAATCCAGGAGCTTTTCTCTTCACCTCTAGTGTTAAGTCACTCATCCAAATCTTGCTTTAGTCTTGTTACGGTGTTCTGAGAACTCCTAGAATTCTTTCCAGGTTCTTCCTGTCTTGAACAAAGTATCGGACCAAACAAGAACAAAAGGTAGCAAGATTTTACATTTATTAAAGGTAGGAAAAGAAACAAGCTCTGCAGTGCAAGTGTGGGCCAATTTAAAGCAGGAAAAAAAGCACATGCTTCAGGGTGAGAGCTAACCACTGTGAAAGAGACAGCACAGGGTCCCCAGCTAAGCAGTGCTATCTATCTTTTGTAGGTTGACTTCAGAGTTTGGCTATCTTGAGTTATCCCTGAAAGAACTGAAGACAGCACTTTTGTCTGTATGTGGGGGGCAGGGGTGAGACAGGGTCTCACTGTGCAGTGCAGGCAGGCCTTGTACTCATTATGTAGCCCACACTGGCCTCAAACTCTTGGCCACCCTCCTGCCTCAGCCTCCCAAGTGCTGAGGTTACAAGCCTGTGCTGCCAAACCTAGCAGAAGACAACTTTCTGATTGGTTCCAGGTGCAGGGTTTGGGCGCATATCGTCCAGTACACCCATGTGACCAGCCATTTTCCCACACCCTAAACTTCTACCTCAGGCTCTTTGAATCCATAGGGATTTGGTTCCACAACCTATGCTCTATCCGCAAACCAGAACTTACATGAAATGGTGTATGATTTGCCTGTAACTTATGCACATCTATCCATACACTTTTATTATTTTTTTTTAGTCAGGTCTTTGTTGCTCAGGCTGGCCACAAACACTGCGGCTCAGGTGATTTTCATGCTTCAGCCTCCCAAATAGCTGGGACTACAAACATGTGCCACCACACCTGGCATCCACATGTTACCAGGTTCTGCGGTTCAGCAGACTCTTTCCAGGTTCTTGGGGTCCTGAACTAAAGAATTGGACAAGACATGTGAAAAGAGTATCGAGAGCTTACATTTATCAAAGGTAGGAGAAGAAGTATGCTCTGCAGAGTGACAGCAGATCACTGAGGAAGCTCACAAGTGGCCAGGAGGTTAATGGCAAAGGTCTTTTGAATCCCCCACTCCTCAGGCTGATGTCAGATCTAGGCTGTCCCATCAAAAACCTGCTTGATTTTGCCCTAGAAGAATTGAAGATAGCACTTTCTCATTGGTCCCGGACACAGGGTTTGGGAAGTGTTTGCTGACCACATCATAGACATCTATGATTGACAGGTCACACCCACTTACCCAGCTAGTTGGCTACGACCTAATATCCTGCCTGACATACAGATACTTTAAATCATCTCTAGACTACCTATAGTACCTAATAAAATGTAAATGCTACATAAGTAGTTGCTTAGTGAATAAGAAAAAGCCCAGGCAGGCATAGTGGCACACACCTGCAATCCCAGCACTTGGGAGCCTGAGGCAGGAGGATTGCCATGAGCTCAATGCCAGCCTGGGCTACGTAATGAGTTCAAGGTCAGTCTGAACTACATAGTGAGACCCTCTCTCAAAAAAATGAAACCTTCCAACAAAAAAGAATGTAAAGTTATAGCAAAGCATAGTTGCATATCTGCAATCATAGTGCTCTGTCAAGCTGGGGCATAAGGATCAGAACTTTGAGTCTAGGCTGGGCAATTTAGCAAGACCTTATTAAGAAAGCAAGAAAAAAGGAAGCTAAGGTGTAGCTCACTGCAAAGGCCCTGGGTTCAACAGCACTAGGTTTTAAAAAAGACTATAAATTTACCACCACCACAAACTCCACCAACACAAATAACTTTACACACTGAGGCTCATGTGCAGCAGTTTTCTGCACTTCCTTTTCTTTTTTGGTTGACTAAATGGTGCCCTTCTCTTCGTTGGGCATGATGATTTTAGTATCTACTCTTAAACAGTTAAAGGCTTTTCATTCACAAAATACTGATATTGGTGAAGATTTTCCATCTAATGCAATTTTGGTTCTCCAGACATCTAAAAGTCAGGATGCAAAAGGTTGTACATACTTTTTTCTACATCTATCTGAAGAAGGTCTGGAGAAATAGACCAGAAATGGGATTTTAAAGAACTGTGTACGTGGGGCGTGGGGGTGAATGCCTATAATCCCAGCACTAGGGAGGCTGAGGCAAGAGAATCACCGTGAGTTAGAGACCAGCCTGTGCTTCAAAGTGAGCTCAAGGCCAGCCTGAACTGCAGTCAGACGCTTCTCGAAAAGACGAAAAAGAGAAAGAAAAAGAAAATAAAGAACTGTGCAGGCTTCGGTGCAGTTTCAAAAAGGGGCCGCGAGGTGGCGATGTAGGAAAACGGCAAAAGCAGTGCGCACGGAGCCTCTCTTGACACGCCCCGGAAGAGGAAGTGGACACGTGAGACGCTCTACGGTGGCCGAGGGAGGCCACGGGTACCTTTACGCGCATCCAAGCGCACCCGCGAGGTGCAGGGAGCATCGTTTCTGTGGTCGAGTCGCCAGGAGGGCGACGAGGGGCAGCCAGCACCATGGTGAAGGAGCAGTTCCGAGAGACGGATGTGGCCAAGAAAATGTGAGACGGAGCGAGAGGAGCCGCAGGCCTGAGGGGGCTGAGGCTGGGCGGTGCGGGCGCGGGTCTCCGGAGTCACGCCAAGACCCCTTTCTGCTGCGGTTGTTTGGTTGTCAGTACTGGCCGCTGAGCCCGGGGCCTGCCCACTCAGCTACATCCTTTCTGGCTTTCTGTTTGGCGGCAGGGTCTCGCCCGGTTCCCCAGGCTGGGCTGGAACTTGCGGTCCTCCTGCCTCAGCCTCCCAGAGTGGCGGGGTTGCAGGCGTGCGCCGCCACGCTCGGCCGCAGACCCCGTTCTCTCCGCGGGTCTGGCCCCAGCAGGAGAGCGGTGTGGGGCGGCCCCCGGGGCTAACTCGGGTTTTGCCCAGAGCACCTCGCGCGGCAGGCAGGACCTGCTGATCCGAAGGATGTTGCCAGCCCCAAAATGGCAGATGGGCGACAGTCTCGGAAGCGAGTATATTTCCTCTCTCCTAACGCGCGTATTTATGAGGCAGGGCCACTGCTCTCCAGTGGAAAGTGAACCCAACCTGATCACAGCGGATGGTGAGGAGGGCACCGCGCGCTGTGCTCAGGGTGGACACCAAGCGTGCCGCGCGAATGTGACCTCTGCTGCCTCCTGTAGCTGGACAAGGGAGAGAAGCCAGCCTTGGCTATGGTACTTGCAGTACAAGGCAAACAGGGAGTTCTGAAGACCCCTAATAGATTCAAGCAACAGAAAGCAGACTATCTAGCCTTCTTCAGAAATCGTAGTGCAGGGAGAACAGGTGGGTGGTGAGAACAAAGCAGGAGGTCCAAAGCCAAAGGAATCAACTTGCAAGCAGTGAAGAACCTCTGAGGGTTTTTAGACAGGGGAGAAGATGTAGTGTGGTGGTGCACACCTATACTACCAGCATTTAGGAGGATGAGGCAGGAGGATCACCATGAGTTTGAGGCCAGCCTGGATTACTTAGTGAATTTAGGCCAGCCTGAACTACAGATATATAGACTGTGTTTAAAAAGTTAAAATAGTAAGTAGGAGAGCATCTTTTTTATTTCTTGTCTTTTTGGGACAGGGTCTCACTATGCAGTTCAGGCTGGTCTTGAACTCACTTTGTAGCCCAGGCTGGCCCCGAATTTGAAATGATCTTCCTGCCTCAGCCTCCTGAGTGCTGGGATTACAGGCGTGTGCCACCATGCCTGGCTTGGGAGTATCTTGATAAGACTTCTGGAGGATCTCTTTTGATTCATCAGGGGAAGAGTTAAGGTAGGGAGACCATGGCGCCCATGGCACAGACCCTGGCTGGGGATGACGAATGCCCGCAGGAGGGTGGGACAGTCACCATGAAGTGAGTTTCAGAGAGGTTCAAAGTACAAGATGGGTGGATGGGTAGGGAGCAAGGTAAGGGAGAGACGAGAGTGGCATCAGAATTCTTTTTTGGCAGTTGTATGGCCGGCTGCT